GATTATGTTAAATATTTTATATATCTGAAATGTATTTCTTAATTGTGTGAATTACAGATTCATGTTGTAAAGTGTCAAAGAGAGTGATGGTGAATATTGGAGAAACTGCAACCTTCAGCTGTGAATATTCAGAGAATCATATTAATGATCCCAAGATCATATTCAAAGAAGGAAGATTCTCAATTAGAGAGTTGATACACACCACTGACACATGGAATAAGGAAGAAAGATTCAGTATTTCTAATGACAGACATACAAATCTCTTCGGTGTGAACATTTCTTCTGCGACTCCAGATGATGGAGGAGTTTATTTATGTGGAGTTTGGATCAACGGGGACTCATACAGTTACTCCATTATTAATACTGTTTATTTGCATATAATGAGTGAGTAGAACAAATAATCATTTTGTCACTGTTTTCCTTGTTTAATTTTTTTATCTTTGTTCTCCCAGCTTATAAACAAACTTTGAATGTTGACAGATTCGTGTTGTGGAGTGTCAAAGACAGTGAATGTAAACAGTGGAGAAACTGCTGCTTTCAGCTGTGAATATTCTCAGGATCAAAGGTATAATGGGAAAACCATATTCAAAAACAAAAATAACATTATTGATGAGGTGATCTCCACTACTGACACATGGGATAAGAAAGAAAGAGTCAGCATTCATGGTAACAGAAATAACAATCTCTTCACTGTGAGAATTACTGCAGTGACTCCAGATGATGGAGGAGTTTATTTATGTGGAGTTTCAGTCTACAGACACTCGTACAGTTACAACTCGTACAACAGACACTCCATTATTAATACTGTTCATCTACATGTTATTAGTAAGTAGAACAAACTCTATCGATCAAATCTGGTATAACATTTTTTGAGGTCTTTGTTCATGAAGAATTGATTAGGTATGATGCTGTGATTGACAGCTAAAGTGGGCGTGTCTAGAGTGACTGGCCACTCAGGAGGTCGTATGATGATCAAGTGTGAACATCCTCAACACAAAACCAAGCCAAAATACATCTGTAAAGAATCAGACGGATGTTCAGAGAGGAAGAATCCAGGAGTTCAGGATGAATGGGTGGAGAATGGAGATGTTTCTTTATATGACGACACCAGAGCAGGAGTCTTGATGGTGTTTTTTAGAGAGCTGAAAACTGCAGATGCAGGAACATACAGATGTGGAGTGAATGTGTCTCACTATACTGAGAGCTTCACTGAACTTCAGCTGATAGTCAGAGACGGTGAGGAACCGCACATGCTTTATCTCTTAAATCCAATATTTGTTCTGATTTTTATCGAATTGTTTGTTGTTGTTTTCTTTTTGTTGTTTTTTATAGATGTAAAATATCTAAAGAGGAAGACTAAATCTGCTCATCTTGGTGAAGAAGTCAACATCACCTGTCAGATCCCAGAGGAACAAGTTCATTTCTGTAAAGATGATGATGATCACATCTGTCAAAACATCCGCACATCTGCAGTGACAGAAATGAGTCCTTCATCTGAGAGAAATGAAGAGAGAGTTTTTACAGTGAGCATCAGTAATGTGAGTGTGAGAGATGCTGGAGTTTACTGGTGTGGAGCAGAAACCAGAGACACACATTTGACTTTCATCTCCCTGACCACCAAAATTCAGCTCGACCTCTTCAGTGAGTGAATTCAGATATAGTAATAGAAACAATGTAGCCATCAAACATTTATGTATTTACAGTGAGATGGATGTTGAGTTAAAAAGGTGTATTGTAAATGAATACAATATCTGATTGACAGCTAAAGTGGGCGTGTCTAGAGTGACTGGCCACTCAGGAGGTCGTATGATGATCAAGTGTGAACATACTCAACACAAAACCAAGCCAAAATACATCTGTAAAGAATCAGACGGATGTTCAGAGAGGAAGAATCCAGGAGTTCAGGATGAATGGGTGGGGAATGGAGATGTTTCTTTATATGACGACACCAGAGCAGGAGTCTTGATGGTGTTTTTTAGAGAGCTGAAAACTGCAGATGCAGGAACATACAGATGTGGAGTGAATGTGTCTCACTATACTGAGAGCTTCACTGAACTTCAGCTGGACGTCACAGACGGTGAGGAACCGTATATACTTTATGATTAATATAAAGTATTGTTCTGTTCTTTATGTAAACTTGTCCTGGTTTATAGGTGTAAAATATCCAAAGAGGGAGACTGAATCTTCTCATCTTGGCGAAGAAGTCAACATCTCCTGTCAGATCCCAGAGGAACATAAAGTTCATTTCTGCAAAGATGATGATGATCACATCTGTCAAAACATCCGCACATCTGCAGTGACAGAAATGAGTCCTTCATCTGAGAGAAATGAAGAGAGAGTTTTTACAGTGAGCATCAGTAATGTGAGTGTGAGAGATGCTGGAGTTTACTGGTGTGGAGCAGAAACCAGAGACACACATTTGACTTTCATCTCCCTGACCACCAAAATTCAGCTCGACCTCTTCAGTGAGTGAATTCAGATGATTTCATTGCTGTAAATAAGAGTGGCAAGTCATGATGTAACCATCTGTTAAATGGCATAAAGTCTAACTGTATCTGCTTAGGATAAACTTAAAGCTACAAAAAATATAAAAATCTTGGTAAATGTATGCCCATTATTTAGTTAGGGTGACCATATTTTAGTCTTCAGAAAAGAAGAGGGGGGGGGGGGAGAACGCATTCTCATCCTTTGGCGTCATATAGGTGACGCCATATGACATTTCGTCGAAATCTTACGCACATGGCATCCTTTAGCGTCAATATAACACACACTGTTATGGGTAGGTTTAGGTCTGGGGTCGGGTTACGGTTATGACGCCTTGGGATCTGCGTCTCATATTCACGCTAAACAATGCCATGTGCGTTGGATTTACACGCGCGTCACCTGTATGACGCCTTGGGATCTGCGTCTCATATTGATGCTAAAGGATGCCATGTGCGTAAGATTTCAACGAAATGTACAAGCGTCACATGTATGACGCCAAAGGATGAGAACGGGCTGGTATTACTGATGTAATGAGTAATACATAATTTCCATTCAACTTTTAGCCCGCAACAATAGAATAATGACAAACAAATTAAAATTAAAAATTTGTACACGGTGCACTCCGTCTCAAACTTGTCCCGATTGGAATGGTACGTGTGAAATCTTTTTTGCACTAGAAACAGTATAGTTGAAATTGTACCCCACACTATTCTAAGAGGATAAAAAAGAAGAAAAAATGTAAAAAGGGCAAAAGCTCAGCCAACGGCCTCATTTAAATATTCTCCTCTTTTTTTAATGCACACAAAGCCCTCTGATCTGAGTGCGGCTTTCTCCTGTTTTGGTGCCTCTGCACACTCGGCTTCTGCTCCTCTCTCCAGGACCTCGATCCCAGCAGGAGCTCAGATTATTTGGGAGGAGTTCACAGCCGGCGCGGAATAAATTCTGCGTTCGACTGTGTTCTCGCCTCTCTAAACCTGTTCACCATCTCAACAGTAGCGCCAAACAGTCCTGAGGGCGAGACGGGCATCCAAGAGGACAGCTTCGTCACACTCCTTGATCCCCTACAAATTGATCCACAGATGCCTCTCCGTCGTCACCATAGCAGCTATAGACCATCCAAGGGAACGGGCTGCCTGCCTGGTAGCATAAAGAGTTCGGTGGTCATGCGCAGTTCAGAAACCCCCTCGGGGGACAACCCCTCCCCCTGATCCAGGTCTTTGAGCAGATCTGCCGGGTAAGCTTGTAATATTGCCATAGTATACAGAGTCCCACCAGTCTGACCGGTTGCTGCATATGCTTTGTCCACCACCCTCAATGTCATTTGACATGGCTTAGACGGCAAAATGGGAACCTTCATCAATGAAGATGTCCCCGGGACACATAATTCGCTAAATTCCTCTACACCCGAGGCATCCTCCCATAACCCGGAATATGGATGTTTCCATGAACCTGACACCTCGATGTGCAGGTCGGGAAGAAATGGAAAGCTCACCCGGAGCTTTACAACATGAATAAATAAATTATGTATTTATATAGCGCATTTCCTATGTACTGCCACAGAACAACGGCGCTAGTGCGCTCACCACACACCAGCTAGCTTTTAGTTGGAGAGGATAGAAAGTGATCGAGCCAATTGATTGAGCCGATTGATAATGGTCAATGGAGGGAATTTGGCCAGGACACCGGGGTTACACCCGTACTCTTTACAAGATGTGCCATGGGATTTTTAATGACGAGTCAGGACCTCGGTTTAACCAAGGACGGTGCTTGTTTCAGTATAGTGTCCCCGTCACTAAACTGGGGTATTAGGACCCACACAGACCACAGGGTGAGCACCCCCTGCTGGCCTCAGTAACAACTGCTTGACTTAGTAGATATCGCTCATCTAATCAACTGTCTGCAATCTCGCATTTCAAGCTGGACCATTCGAAACTCAGTCTGTCTGTAGAATGAGTCATAAGCTCCCCTAGCTTATTGTATTCAATGTTTAGCTGGACCAGGAAACAGATAATTTATAAATATCTGTCTCTACTTACACCACGCTTTCTATATAGTCAAAATCATAAGCGAGCAACGAGTCCTCATTTACCATGGAAGAAGCGGCCGGGCTGGCTTCCACTTCGGGCATACAGACAGCAGAGCTTGCAGGAGAAGTGAAGGGAACTTTCTTATGCTCCTCAAACAGGTCCGTGTGAGATCCTCACGGCTGTAGCCTGTGCGCTGCCTCAGCAATCACAGGGCTGGACGCCTCTGGTCTTCTGGTCTCCAGCTTCGCCTTGGTGTGTGGATGCCCTGGCTCCACTTCAGGCCACGAGCCTGACACTAACCTGTTGACCACTCGGCTCCACCATGGCTTCTCGCTCCCTCGGCTCCACCTAGGACCATCGTTCGTACCTCAACTGCTCATCACCGAGGCTCCGCCCTGGCCTCCAGGCATTTGCAGCTTATATGAGCTTTATGGTATTAATAACTCAGTATCAATTGTGTTAAATGAACACATATTTGTTTGTTTGCAGTGGCTCCAGTAGTGAAACATGAAGGAGAATCTGCTGAGATCTTCTGCCCTTATGATTCAACCTATAAATCAAAGTCTCTCTGTAAGGGGAAGTGCTCCACTAGAGATAGAAATACTCTCAATGAGACTGTGAGAGAAGAGAAAGACACCAAGACTGACAGATTGACTCTGAATGAAGACGTCACTGCAAGTGTCTTCACTGGGACCATCACTGGACTGACAGCAGAGGATGCTGGGAAATACTGGTGTGCAGTGACATTAGAGAGAGATGTGAATTATCTTTACACTCATCTGATCGTCATCATGAACGAGGGTGAGGAAGGTTTATACATCTGAATATGTGAAACTATGGCTGTGAATTGATGTTCTTATATTTCTAATATTTCCAGAGCTGAACTTGACTAAGTATGAAGGAGACGACATGTCAATCCAGTGCAAACATCATGATGAACTTCAGAAATGCTTCTGCAAAGCACATGAACCCTCTGTGTGTGTGAAGGATGGAGTTTCATTGGAGAAGATCAGAGATGATCGATTCTCTTTCAGTGATGAAGCTTCTACTGGAGTCTTTACTGTAAACATCACTGATCTGAGAGAAGAGGATTCTGGGATATACTGGTGTGGAGCTCACATCACCACTAAAGTCAATCTAGAAGTCAAGAAGAGTAAGCATTCCCTTTATTTCCAAAGTTGATTGTTATGCTGCTAATTATAATTGAATTGCGGTTTTTAAACTAATGCCATAAACAACAAGTCTTGGTAAAAGCAATATTCTGGGTTCAATACAAGTTAAATTTTTATAAAATACTATTAAGTGCTGTGACATCAACATTCAAATATAAAATCGTGAGCTGTACATTTTTGCATTTAAACCCTCCAAACATTATTAGGAGTCGTGTCGTGACCTCAGCCTCAAAGAAAATGAGGAACGAGTCAAAATAATTTTTCGTGGCAATCAGCTCTATGCAACAAGTCTGATCAACATCAAAACTTTAAATGGGGCTCAACCTGAACTACATTGTTTCTATTTTAAGGTGATCATAAGCATCAGTGATGGCCTTGACCTCACAAATAGTGGTAGATATTGAGATTAAATGTAGAGATATGGTTGAACAAGAGGTTGGTGGTTTGTGATCTCCTCAGATTGAAAGCAGAAGTGAGAAAACTGAACAGCCACAAATAGATTTTAGGAAATTCACAGATGCAAATGATATTACATTATACCAAAGTTAAAGCTAAACTATATATATACGTATATATATGTGTGTCTTTATGAAAAATGGTGGTTTAGAGATTGATTTTTAGAGATTAAACTGTTCACCGTCTACTTGTTCTCCAGACTTTTCTGCCAGAATCGTCATCTCTTGTGTTTGTGTGTCTTTACTGCTGATCGGAGCGTCAGTGCTGTTATTATACAAATTAAGATACATCAAGACACGAGGTGAGGATCGCACACACGTAAACACACACATGATCTATCGGTCTGCTGGCCTTGTGTGACCTGCTACTGTTTCACATTATCCCTGCGCTTGTGAATTCAAATTACATTACACTCTAAAATTGCTGGGTTGTTTTAATCCAAATTTGGGTCAAATATGGACAAACCCAGCCATTGAGTTATATTTTTAAATGAAAATTTTAACCCAACGGCTGGGTTTGTCCATATTTGACCCATATTTGGGTTAAAAAGACCCTGACTTTTTTAGAGTGTAGCAGTCAAAGCCAGTTGTCATCTAATTTAAGGAAAAGGTATCTATAACTTTCTAGATGACTTTTTTTACTCCAATACTGCACATTTTGAGACACCCAGGTCCAAAATGACAAGAACAACTCATATTTTGTTTCCCAAAGTCACCCTTAGTGTATAGTTTTATCTTATGATGATTTTTAAAAAATATTCTTATATTCAGTAATTGTTAGTAACTCCACTGGATGAGAACAACACCTGGACTGAATTAACAAAAGCTGAATAATGACACTTTTATGCTTTTTTAAGCTGCTGTGTGGGTGAATTGAGTTTGTTTCATAACTGATACAACATTAAAATTGTTATTGAATCAGAATTTAATTCAGTTGAATAGTGACACTATTGTCTGCTTAGACTAGATGAAATTGTATTTTTCATAAGAACACTGTTATTGTCATGTCTATTACTGTGAAGCTGCTCTGAATTGTATAAAGCGCTTTAGAAATACGTTTTTTACTCTGGTTATTCCTCAGATCAGCACTCTTCCACAGACGGGACAGAGATGAGCAGTGCAAAGGTGAGGGGGATTTAGTTTCTTGTTTATTGAACTGACTGTTTGCTGACTGTATTTTGCACATGAAGCATAACTAGAACTATATGAAATACGGAACATGTAAATGACCAGCAGTGACCCCACATTCAGACGTTCAAGGGTGAAAATAAATGGAAAATTGTGATATGCAATAAGCAAATTATATTTTTTTAAGCAAAAAACATATACTTTAAAGTTGCGATGAAAAAGAAGAAGTGACAAATCTTTTCTTTCATTTTGCATTCATCTGAGAGAAATGATTTATAAAAAAAAATAGGGTGTGGAGATTTGGTTCTGTCTGTCGTTGTTGATTGGATGTTGAGAGTTTTGTCTGTCGTTGTTGATTGGATGTTGAGATGTGGGCGTGGCACTCAGAAATGGAGGTGAAACTGAATGCAATGCAAAAATATAAAATATGAATTACATGCATTAAGGCAATCAGTGTCCTCAAATGTAATGAGTTATCTTAACTTTTTGTATATGACTGTGTGTGATATTGTGAGTTAGCAGTAACTGCACACTTAAAGTTTGTCATTGCACTATATTTTACTCAATATAGTGAAGTTTCAGCTATATAAAGTATTTAAATGCAGTGTAAAGTTTAATTGTGTTTTAAGAAATATTATAGTTTTAGTGGACTCAATTCAAATAAGTTCAGAGTACTCATAACTATTGTTTTTTTATAAACTTGATTTTAATTGAGGCAATCAGTTTCCTCAAATGAAATGAGTTAGCTTAACTTGTTAGGTTTTACAGTGAATGAATCAATAACATGCGTTTAGAAGATAGATGTGGTGAATGTTTAGTTCATTACACTGTATTAGTGAATTTGGAAAACCCCTCTCTCTGTGAATCTGCCTGTTATTTCCTGAACTGAATCTAGTTGTTATCTCTTGTCTTTTCTTGTTTTCAGGCGCCTCAGGCTGCGTGTGACTATGAGAATATCAGAGACGTCAGACAGCGTATAGTCTCAGGAACTGGGGACGATGTGTTATATTCCAACGCGAAACTTTCCACAGACTCTTCTGATCTGAACCACACGCTATATTCCACCGTCCAGTTACCCACAATCCCCTCTGATGGGCTCCTGTACGCCTCTGTCCGTTTCCAGAAGCACAAAGAGTCTGTCAGTGACGCTAAAGTCACTTTCAATAACGAGGAGATTTACACCACGGTCAGTCCCCGCATGAGACTCAACTAGTTCACTGAGATTATTACTGTACTGTGTTGCTCTTTATGGAAGCTGGTCATGATTACAGTGACATTTTAATGTGTACAGTGACTCCCAAAACCATGTTGGCACTTAAGACTCACACTTAAAACTATGAATGCCAATTCATTAGATACAAAATGTTAAATCAAGAGCCATTTATTGTTAAGAAACACAGCACAAGCACAATTTACAATCAAAACAAGAAGTATTGTGTGGCTTTATGCTTGTTTATGATTAGTGGAACACAGTGAGCTACGCTTGCGGTTACTCAAAAACGGCTCAAAAATGTGAAGTTATTTGTGAGGAAGAACTCATTTGTTTGTATGTAACGTTTGATCTGCACTGTGTTTACTGTCGGACATTTATGGATTTACTATAGTTAGTCATTTTGTCACACCCGCGTGAAATTACAGATAACAGAAACTGTAGATAAACAAAACAAAACAAAACAAGAGCACAACACCTGCTAGAAATCTACAAGAAAACAACTTTTTTACACCGCAGGGTTTTAAGGTGTTTACATCCAGAAGCGTCTAGAAAGGACTAACGCAGCAGAATGCAGGGTGTAATTAATCAACGCTATCTCACGACCAATTCGTCCGAATTTGACGAGTGATTAAAAGATGGCTAATTCGTACGAATTTGTACGATTTGTCTAAACCCACGTGATGGGTAGGTTTAGGGGCGGGGTCAGGGGTAGGTCAGTCGTACGAATTCATAAGAATTGGGCAACTCGTCAAATATGTACGTTTTAGCAAAAATCGTACTAATTCGTACGAGTGAGGTCGTACGAATTGTTACGAATTAGCCATCTTTTAATCACTCGTCAAATTCGGACGAATTGGTCGTGAGATCGGGTTGAATTAACCACTTACAGATGTATTTGCATTATGAATTTTTCTTACTGCAACTGTTTATTTATATTTTCTAATTACACTGTTCATGTTCAGATATGCCTCATCTGGAGTAAGAGAGCCATATGAAATAAAGCAGTGTTAGATGCCATATCAGTTATGACACTGAGATATTAATGCATGCTGAATTAATCATGCTCCTTCTTATCATGTATTACACATTTAATATTATTATACATGTGTGTGTGTGTGTGTGTGTGTGTGTGTGTGTGTGTGTGTGTGTGTGTGTGTGTGTGTGTGTGTGTGTGTGTGTGTTTATACAGGTCTCTATTTATCAGTGTGTGTGTGTGTGTGTGTGTGTGTGTTTTATACAGGTCTCTGTTTATCAATGATCAGGTGTTTTATATTCATAGTGATCATCTTACAGGGAAACTAACCTGCAGAATCAGCTTTAAAGTCAGTGTCTGACTGCTGATTATTTCGTTTTTATACTGCACTTGTTCTGTTTGAGATCGCCGCCTTCTGTTTAAACATTAAACATTGTTTTGAACAATCTCCAGTTTTCTGGTTTGACAATTATTTATTAACAGCCAATGAACAGTGGCATCCTGAATTAAGAAAAAAAGCTTCACACACTGATTTCAAGCCACATTTGGATGCAAGTGTCTGTGTTTTTCTGCTCTTCAGACTCTCTCTCTCTCTCTCTCTCTCTCTCTCTCTCTCTCTCTCTCTATATATATATATATATATATATATATATATATATATATATGTTTTATGTCCTATGTCCTATATATGTAAAACACGTGTGCTAATTTGTTTGGCAGAAGCTTCAAACCTGCACACAAGACAGAAGCACAGAAAGATGGTCTTTGGTTTAACTGTTGTGTGTCAGTGACAGGAGGATGTATTTCATCACAGTGAGTCAGAAGACTTTAGCGAGGAGGAAAAGGAAGAGGTGGAGCTGTTTGTTTAATAAAAAACTCTTTAAGAGCACAAGATAAAAACACACAATCAGACACAGCGGAAGAACTCGCAGTGTCTCTGACCGATGAACAATACAAGCGGATTCACAGTTTTATCATTCGTGATTATGAAGACCTTCCTCTTCTTCCTCTTCTTCACTCTCTGCCTGATTAAAGGTCAGACGTTTATAATTACAGTATCTCAGACTTTAACTATTTACTCACCTGATATTAAAGCATGAGGATTGTCATGTGTAAGCTTGTGACTACGCATGGACTGAGTACACACACACACACGTTAACATGGTCTGTCATGTTTACACAGATGTGTAGCGTTTCAGTCTATCGTGTATTTGCTATCCCAGACTGTTGTGGTGTATCATGTCCTATAGCTGATCTTAATATTGTAAAGTTTTTATTTATTTTTTTATTTTATTTTTATTGACAATTATTGTGGGACTTCCACCATGTGGCCCAAAAAATCATCCTCAAAACTTAGCCAGCGGTTTCCCTTCTCACTTCTGGCCTCCATCTTATCAAGCATTGTGCTATTATGTGTTTTGCCTGTCCACTTTATTTGTGAATTTTTACATTTTTGTTAGTATGACATTGTAAGGCTCTTAAAAGAGGAACTGAATTTGATTGACAGGTCACATGAGTGATGCTGCTGACGCCGTGACTAACATCACAGGAGGAAGTGTCATCATCAAGTGTATGTATATAACTACAATTGAGAAAACAAGAGAAAGTGCAAAAAGCTTTTGCAAAGTGTCTGCCAGTGGCAGTGAATGTACAACCTTGACAGAAGTAGCGAATGATTTATGGATCCCAGAAGAGAGATTCTCTATGATTGAGGATAAATCTCTGGGCTTGATCAGTGTCTTCATCAGAAACCTGACCGTAACCGACAGCGGGACGTACAGATGTAGAGCCGGCAGTCAACCGGTTCAGGAGGTGAATTTCAATGTGAAACAAGGTAATCATTTATATTTATTTACCATGTTACTCATTTCCTCTGTCCGGCCTTTGGGTTTAACATCTTATGTTTGTTCTTAATTTTAGAGACTTAATTTAACAGTAACATAATTTGTTACACTTTGTTAATTAAAATGATTGTTTTCAGAGCCGTGTTGTGGGAGATCAGAGGATCAGACTGCTTATTTAGGAGGAACTGCTGTCATTCACTGCAAATATCCAGAAGAATATAAAGATCATGGCAAGCAATTGTTCAAAGTGCAGAATGGATCATTAGAGTGTATTATTACTGCATTTGGAAGTCCGTTCACCAATGGGAGGTTTTCTCTGAATGTAAACGAACAGGAACATGTTTTCTCTGTGACTATTGCTGATGTGGAAAGAAGTGATGCCGGGGTGTATTTCTGTGGGATACACACCAACATCTACACTCCCCTTCTCACAGAGATTCAGCTTCATGTTTCAGGTGAGAAACAATTAGTAACAAATTACACATTAAATGTGCATGTAATGTCAATTAAACAGTGTAATTTTGATGCCTGACCTATCTTCTGTATGTGGGCGACAATGGAAAATCAAGAACAAACAGATGCTTCAGGCCAGTCTGGTGAGTTCTTTACACACAATATACCTCAGAATATCACAGAATATGACAGTTCAGAACAGCAAAGTGGAAGTGATGTGCTGCTTTACCATTTTATAGTATTTTTCTGACTTTGGTCATTGCAAGGATATTTTCCCAACATTCGCCGTCCTCCATGAAAACACTGTGCATCAGCCCACATTTCCCATCTCAACCTACTTTAAACATGGCCAGGGGAGACCGATAGCTGCTGTGAATGGTATTCTTTATTACTGTAGTTTTTTCCACAACCGCCACATTGCCTTGCCTTCTCGTTAAAGAAGTGCATATGTACATATGTGAATAATCTTTTGAAGCATACTGTATGTTTTATACACAGCGAAAAAAGCCTGTATTTGACCGAAATTCCAGAATTGTCAGCTGACTATTGATAGCATTGTGAATGTTTGTATGGATGTCAATAAAGAGGATGCTAAATATAATTTTGGCTTTAAGATTTTGCCAATTAATAGGCAAGAATAAACCTGATGTCCTTCATGATTCCTACACTGTAAAATCCAACAGTGATTCTAACCAACACTTTTTTCTTTTCTTTTTTTTACTTTACTTAATATCTTAACTTAATTGTTGAAATCTAGTAATCTGTACCATTCACATACTATGCTTTTTTTTTTTTTTACTCAGAAAACCTGTGTTAAGATTAACTGATTGGTTTGAGTGCCATTTAAAAAAAAAAAGTGATGCGTGGAAATTCTTAATAGACTTTTCACTCATTTCCTGTTATCTTTGCATTCACCGATTTCCCAAATTGATATTGAATGTTGAATTGTTAATACAACTTAAAAATTTGAGAGAACATCAAATAAACTGACTTCTTAAATTATTGTTGATTTTCCTAAAATGTTAAAGTTTGAACTCGTCATTATGGTGATCAGTGTTGCCATTGGTTGGGCACTTCATTTATATTATTGGAAGTAATAATTAGTTTGCTTTTATAATTAGTTTAAATGTGATCTAACTTCTGAAGTGAAATATACTAGCTAAGAATTTATTATTTTTATTAACATTTTATTGCATTTATTAACATATTATTCCTATTTCACTTTTTTTCAGCTTTTTTTTTTACAGCAATCGTTTTTTACAGCAATCTTTTTTTATTTAATCAATTTTATAGTGTGATCTTTGTGACAAAAAAGCCACGACTTCAGAAGTGGGAGATTTCTGATAGCATGTGAAGGCAGCATCAGATCTCAGTTTTGACTGTCATGTGTGTGTTTTTCAGATCTCTACATCATCAGTACGGTGTGTTCGTGTGTGATTCTGTTGTTAGCTGTAGGACTGAGTTTGTCGTTGTTCAAGTGCAGATGTAAGAAGACAGAAGGTACAAACTCAAACACTCTGGTTTTATGAATTGAAACCAAACATGAAATGTTTTAACTTCTATATGTTCACTGTCATGGTTTCATCATTTTGTCCAGCCACAGGTTCAGTCTCATCGGATCAGAGGGACACAAGAGACGGTGATGAGGTAACACTGCATGTTTCACTTTTCACTTTTCATACAGTCTTTCTCTGTTCGCATGATTTCTGTTATACAGTATTGCCAAAACAATGTAGAACCATGTTTGTGTACAACTGCAAAAGTCCTTTAAAAAGATTATAATTATATATCATGTTATTAAATATAATGAATATGTCCCTTTCAGGAAGTCAATTCTCCTTATTATGAAGCGATTCAGGACTCTGCTCAGGTGTCCATTGGTTTAAACACAGTTTACGCCACGCCATTTACCCACAAGCCCCTCTGACAGTGATTTCTACGCACTGGCTGAAAAGCCATGACACTGAACACTGAAGACACACATCATAATCTCTCCATGCTTTCCTCATTGATTTGACTCATGTATGCAGTTTGAAATGTTGTATAAATATATATATTTTTCAATTATTTGGGATTATTGCCAATCTTTTTTGTTTTATTTTGACAACCAATCGTCTGCTACAGTCATACAAACTCTGTTGACATAAAAAAATATATATGTTTATATGAATGATGTCATTAAAATGAACCACTTTAAGACCAAATGTGGGTTTAATGGCCTTTAAAGAGCACACAGCATTAAGATTATTTAAAGTAATGATTCATTTTGAAAACTGAAGTCATCCATAAAGTTTTTTTTTTTTCTGACAATCACCACGTGAAAAGAAAGTATGCAAATTGACACAACAAGGGTCAAAGGGGCAATATTTCACACAACTGAATGAATACATATATATTTTTTGGTAGTACAATGTTATAATATATAATTGAATATTTTTTATAGAAGTAATATTTTATTGAAAATGCCCTTCCTCTGATTATGGACACTAATCACATTATTAGATTATACTGACACCAAGTGGTCGAATATTCAGTTTAACACAGTACAATATTTTTGAATGTTGCACATGTCTCTAGATATGATGATCAGTGTTTAGGAACTGATGAAATATAGTTATTCTTATTCTGACATGTTTATGGTTTCTAAACTGCCCTAAATCTCTTTGAAGATCAGAGTATACATTTTTTTTGTGTTTGCTAAATGAATAAATGTAAGTGTTGGACTGAACTTAATTTAGAAGGATGTCCTGTTACCTTATCGACTACAGTAAAAGACCTGGGAGTTATACTAGACCGCAACTTGTCTTTCGAAAATCATATTTCATATGTTACAAGAACTGCCTTTTTCCACCTTAGAAACATTGCTAAATTACGTAACATGCTATCTGTTTCCGATGCAGAAAAGTTAGTTCATGCATTCATGACCTCGAGACTAGATTACTGTAATGCTTTATTAGCTGGTTGTCCTGCATCCTCAATAAACAAGCTACAGTTAGTGCAAAATGCAGCCGCTAGAGTTCTTACTAGGTCGAGAAAATATGATCATATAACACCGATTTTATCATCTCTGCACTGGTTACCTATTAAGTTCCGTATCAATTACAAAGTACTACTACTGACCTATAAAGCCCTAAATGGTTTAGCTCCTGTGTATTTAATGGACCTTCTATCGCCCTACAATCCATCGCGTTCTTTAAGATCACTAAATTCGAGGCTTCTGGTCATTCCTAGGATATCTAAGTCCACTAAAGGAGGGAGGGCGTTCTCACATTTAGCTCCTAAACTCTGGAATAGCCTTCCTGATACTGTTCGTGGCTCAGACTCGCTCTCCCAGTTCAAAACTAGATTAAAGACGCATCTCTTTAGCCAAGCATTCACATAATGCTTACCTTCTATTGTTGAATCAGATCGAATGCATTAATATTATGAACAGCAGCTACGCTAATTATTTCCCATCTGCTTTTCTGCTGTTATCTCGGGACGCTAGTCCCGAGGTAAATAGCGTTCGTCAGCTCCAGTTTGTATCCAGCCTCTCACAGAGACTTCAGATGCTCCAACACCTTCGATGAGACGACTAGACGCCTGTGAAGAGACGACTCAACGCCGGCGATATGTTATGCCCTAAATTAATACATGATGATTAACTAACTATATTCTTCTATGTACATTTCTGAAATGCACTTTCTGTAAAGCTGCTTTGAAACAATATGTATTGTGAAAAGCGCTATACAAATAAATTTGAATTGAATTGAATTGAATTGAACTTATTCAATGAAGATGTCAATAGAGGGCGCTGCAGACACTGCATTACATACAGAGGAGGAGCAAATGACAGTAGCTGCGTCCCAATGTGCATACTATCCATCCTAAATAGTATGTGACATTAGTAATTTTCAATACTATTTAGGGCATAGGGACGCAGCTAGTGTGTGTGTGAAAAAAAAAAAAAACTTTATTTACGGTACAAAATCACTTCACAAGTAGTTGTTTTTTTTAACTTACAAAATTAAATCAAAAACAAAATAAATATTAATTATTCATGAACAATTGTACACAAAACATCACAACTAGCCTACACCATTTCAAAAAGTAGTAAGAACAGTTTGTTAAATCTAAAATCAATCAAAATTATTGCTCTAAGTAGAAACTTAAAAACAACAATAACATCATCATTGCTTTTTTGTTCTTTTTCCTTTTATTTTTATTTCTACTCATGTAGATCACCATTTTAGCCTGCCCAAGAATAAAATTCAACATTTGAAACGTAACACGCTTTCATAACAAGCCAAAAATAAAAGTTTCTGGACAAAAGCACTCATTAAAATTATTACACAATTCTTTCACCATTACAAACAAAGGTTTAAGTCTGAGGTATTGCACACAAGCATGAAACAGTCTCTTTTTGAGGACAAAACGGACAACCTGAGTTTTTCTGAATCCAAGAATTCACCGCTTTTTTTGTTTAAAGAAACACCCTGAATACTCTTCAACATTTGGTTGAATTAACAAACACGGAAAAGGATCTTTACTGTCAGGGACAATAGTCCCTGAAAAGAAGTTCTGTAACATTTTTTTCATTTATTCCTATTGTACAGTAACACCTTTTACATTCGAAAAATTAGGCCCAGTTTAGCACATAAACTGTTTTAAAACTAAAACTCCTGAGTTTCTTATTGAATCCTGGTAAAAAAAAATTGGACGCAGACAGATCCAGTCTTGCCTTAAAAATCAAGGGATCATTCAGCAACCAAAAAATGGAATGAAAATGTTCAGTCCTTTTGAATATGAAAAAAACTCCAAATCTGATTAAATCTGATCTGCTAAATCTAATCTGATCTGCTGATTAAAAGACGTACATTTTAAAATATCCAAACACTTAAGGTCCAATAAAAAAAAGAGATTTATTTATTCCAATGTTTCCAACAGTCCTGAGTAAAACACAACTGTAAAGATGCAATCCTGCTCTGGAGATGAAACAATTCTTGGCCCTCTTCTTTTTTGGGCAAAAAAATTCAATTCTCCTCTGACCAACGAAGGAACAGTGCATGATTCCGGCAGCATTACAAGTCAGATTGGAATCGGAACATTTAGAGTATTTATCCATTTCCATCTTTTTGGAAGTCCAAGTAATCACGCCGGTATTAAGACGAGTTGTTGAGGATCAGTGCCGTCCACCATAGAGGGTCCATATTGCCGGCGTTGAGTCGTCACTTCATAGGCTTTGTGATTGGGGCATCTGAAGTCTCCGTGAGAGGCTGGATACAAACTGGAGCTGACGAACGCCATTTTCTCGGGACTCGCGTCCCGAGATAACAGCAGAAAAGCAAAAAGGGAAAATAATTAGCGTAGCTGATGTTCATAATAATGATTTCCATAACACAGGCGTAAATGATAAAACATAAAGACAGTGACTCTTGCGTCCCAAAATCACCCCCCTCCGTCCCCCACTCAACTCAGTCCAGCTTACTGACCTCTACGTCCCTCCTGCTGCTGAGACCTAACCACAATCTCACAATCTCTCCGCAGCCCAACCATACGCGCCAACCCGTTGACTAAGGCTGTCGAGCCCCACTGGTGCGTGAATAGGCAGTTTCAGTGGACAACGGTTCCGTATGGCATACCACCTACCGCAACACAATATCTGCCCAACCACCCGTCATTCACGCAATACACAGGAACGTAATGACTGTAAATACAATGCAATCTATACAAATAACCTACAGTCTCTTCAAGTTTTATAGTATTAAATGCATTTGATCTGATTCAGCAGTGGTATAAAAGGTAAGCATTATGTAAATGCTTGGCTAAAGAGATGCGTCTTTAATCTAGTTTTAAACTGGGACAGCGAGTTAGAGCCTCGAACAATATCAGGAAGGCTATTCCAGAGTTTTGGAGCTAAATGTGAGAACGCCCTCCCTCCTTTTGTGGACTTAGATATCCTAGGAATGACCAGAAGCCTCGAATTTAGTGATCTTAAAGAACGCGATGGATTGTAGGGCGATAGAAGGTCCATTAAATACACAGGAGCTAAACCATTTAGGGCTTTATAGGTCAGTAATAGTACTTTGTAATTCATACGGAACTTAATAGGTAACCAGTGTAGAGATGATAAAATTGGTGTTATATGATCATATTTTCTTGACCTAGTAAGAACTCTAGCGGCTGCATTTTGCACTAACTGTAGCTTGTTTATTGAGGATGCAGGACAACCAGCTAATAAAGCATTACAGTAATCTAGTCTCGAGGTCATGAATGCATGAACTAACTTTTCTGCATCGGAAACAGATAGCATGTTACGTAATTTAGCAATGTTTCTAAGGTGGAAAAAGGCTGTTCTTGTAACATATGAAATATGATTTTCGAAAGACAAGTTGCGGTCTAGTATAACTCCCAGGTCTTTTACCGTAGAGGATAAAGTAACAGGACATCCTTCTATATTAAGGTTGTATTGTAAGTGGTTTTGTGGGTAGTTTTTTGGACCAACAAGTAATATGTCATGAATTGCGTGGAAGCAAAGGCGGTAGTCGGATCTAAATGCAGCAGTAGACTTTAATAATGCAGACTAAACTCAGAACAGACAGAAGACACTCGTGGTACGTAAATACATTCATTCAATAACTGACAAAGACAGGGCAGAAACACAGGGCTTAAATAATCAGAGACAAACGAGCAGACAGGAGAACAAGGGGGCGTGGATAACAAGAAACACCTGGGACAACTAATGACAAGACACTAATGACACTAAACATGACAGGACACAAGACCCACATTATGACATAACCCCCCCTTAAGGGCGGCTCCTGACGCCCAACAAAACCCCAAAAAGTTCAGGAGGGCGGTGAAGCACAGGCGGTCTTGGGGGAGGGAGGGATGGAGGGCCAGGCCCGTGCAGGGGAACGGGACCAGGACCAAGGCAAGGCGGGCCTGGGCCGCAGAGCGTGGGCGGACCAGACTGGGCCGGTGACCAGGGCGGAGCCGGACGAGGCGAAGGCCAGGGCGGAGCAGGACGAGGC